ACGACTAGCTAAGTATTGAATTTTATGTTGTAACAGGACTAGACATAGTCATTTGTTCCACAAGATTCAGGTTATAGTAGGAATTTGAGTTGCCACATTAACAACTTTATCCACAATACGCAAAAGCTTAGATTTTAAAATGATTATATTTGGAATTTCACTCAGTTAAATCGTGAATACTCTCTTAGTTGCAAAAAAATACCCTCTACTGTCTAGTGTTCTTCCCAAAATCAACCTTATTTTCTTTTTCAATCTTGCTTTTCAGTGCATTGTCATATTGCTCAACAAATTGTCATAATGAGGTTTTAGAATTAACATACGCATCAAAAAAAGCATTCATGCTTTCACTTCTTTGCATAGTAGACATCCCTGCCCAAAAGTTTTCTTTTTACATATATCGGCACCCAACGTATTCGATCGTTAAAAAAAGAACTTAACCACTCATTTTTTTCAACTGCGTACTTTTCAACCAGCTTGCACCACCCATCTTCAAACTCTTGAGTGTCCGTAGACTCATATACAAAGGTTTTTAGAGTCTTCTTTATTACTTTATATTGAGGCAACCTACTTAATTTTTCAGGAATCTTTTTCATAATATGCTAAAGACAAAGACGATGATGAGATTCAGGGAATACCTGTGCCACAGCTCCTTGCATTGATCGACATTGATATATTATTATTGTTTTTGGTGCCCGTCCATTCATGCATTCTAACCATGACTTGAATAACCATACATATGTTTCTGTATTCTCTCGTGAAAGCAAACCACATCCAAATAAGATACATTGCCCATGGTGATTTACTCCAACAAAAGGCGCAAACGGCATATTATATTTGTTAGTCAAATATGTGCTATCAAACGAAATAACATCCCCAAATGACTCGTATGTTGCCCTAGACCTTGCATCTGCCCAAAATACATTTCGCATACGACCTTCATCATCCATATCAATCACGAAGAAAAAATTTGAACTCCTTTTTTGCATACGGACAAAATAATTACGAAGTGTCACGGCATCCCCAAGCCCAAGTCTTAGTTGTCTTACTTTTACGATGTAAGATCTACAATCTGTCTCGCCAAAAGGTAAATTGTCATACCCTTTCGCTTCAACAACTAGCGAGTGAAAACTTTTATTTAACGGAATTCCAGCATAATCATTCAACTCAAGTCTTCTCTTAGCATATGAATCCATTTTCTTATGTGATCGTCGGAAACGAGATTTTTTGGGACTTAAAGCATGATTATGTTCAAGAAAAACACTAGAGATAACGCATCTTCCATCACCATATGCAATTACGTTAATTTTTGCTTTACAGTTTGTTTTAGAAGACTTTTTATATGGTTTGCTTGTTTTAGGCACATATACCCCTCCTCTAGCACATCCAAGTGAATAGTATGTTTTAGCACAAGAATCTTTTGTTCTTGTACTAGATTTTCGTATACCAAATCCAGTTTGGAATGCATATGCTTTAAAGTAATTGTAAAGGTCTTCTTCTAAATCAAACTTCATTCCATCTTTAGGAATTTTTTGATCTTGAGGATTGAGAATTGTATGCCCTTCAACTGAATTTGCAGCCTCTTCAACTGAAATTGCAACCTTTTCTAGTGAATTTGCAGCATCTTCAACTGAATTTGTAGCCTCCATACTGATTAAATATCAAATATTTTATTAACAATAAACCAAAGATTTTATCAATAATAAAGCAGCATAACCTACTATAAATTGTAATATTAATCAACAAATAAGAGTTATTTTATTAGAAATATAACTATACGGCTATATTATAAACGCAAATATGACTGACCAATTTCTATAATCACTATTCAATATTATCCTCTTTTATCAATCACTTAATTGTAAATCGAAGGTTAAATCAAACGATTGATTCACTGTTAAAACAATTATGTGAAGTAAAAAACGTGAAGGAAATGAAATAAACAGTGTTGAAACACATTTTGTTATCAACACTACATGACAACTTAAAGAATGTGTTTGGTATGTAGAATGAGATAGAACATAACAAATGCTCTTGGCCATTTGACATAAAATGACACACATAACAAAAACTAATCAATGAAATTTAAAAATAGAATACCATATTATCATAGAAAACATAATGTTGGCCAAGATTTTGACATATGTTTAAAATTCGTGAAAGACACAAAGGCCTCTTTTTCTTAAAAAAAATAAATAAAAATAAATAAATAAATAAAAATTGTTTTGTATGAGACCTACTTTAGATGATAGATTTTACATAATATTAGATAAAATTACAACCACATTAACAGTAGGATGAATTAACAACGCTGGTTTATATGTAAAATCTAAATACATGACAAAATCAAGAAAAATAACACATTAAACCGGTAAACGAAGTTCCAAATATTATAGCTGTCAACAGAAGTCTTGACAAAAAATAAAAATATTCAGAACCCACAAAGAGAATCATTTAACTTCAAAAAGAAATAGGTAACAAGATCCATCTCAAAAACACCATTATTGTGTATAGTGCCTTCACATAATTAAAGCAAAAATTACCTGATTGTTGCTGTTTTGATTGTTGTTGCTGTGATTGTTGCTGCTGGCGCAGGGGTAGCAATTGTCGTGGGCAACAGAGTAGACGAGAAGAAGGGTTTGAGAAGGAATTGGGATTACAGGTCTGCTGTGCACGTTCATGTGATCATTATCTTACGTGATTTTTTTTTTTCGTTTTTCTCAATTACCTCATTAAGGGCACTATAAGAATATCAAACTAAATTAGATGAGATGGAATATTGATGACAAATGACATAATTTAGTGGGTAGGTATATTGATAGGAAGAAATAATAGGAGAAAATTTAATTTCTCATTTGTAAGAATAAACGATTTTAAGAAAACAATGTCAAGTGTTGTGGCTTTTACATTTGAGTTAAGGCTAAAATTAGTCCTTAAAACTTTCAAAGATATATTATATAGGTATCAAGTCATTAACTCTTTTTTGGAGGCCCAAAGTCATATAACTTTCAAATTTGTATTCATACCATGTGAGTTTCATGGGTTATCCACTTATCCCACTTATTAGTTATTACTATTATCTTTTTACAAATTTGTTCCAGTTTTTTACAAAATGTGTTTTAATTTTTTACAACTTTTTTTAATATATTTTCACAACTTCAGTTTTACACGTTTTTAGGATTTTGTTTTGACACATTCTTTGTACATGTTTAGTAACCTCAAGCCAAATTTGCAACAAAGTTAAAACTTGGGACAAATTTGTAAAAAAACCAAGTTTAATAAAACCTAAGAAACCTGTTATAACATATACTGTTTTGAAAGTTAAATGGTGTTGGACCTCTAACGGTTGAGATATATATATACCATTTGAACAATAACTGAAGGACCAATTTCAACCTTAGTCCTTTATGCTTTTACGGTTTGTCCAAAATCATTAAATCTCTTACCTCAGTGTTGCATTGGAAATTCCTTTTAAAAAAAGGTTGCTTTAATTGACCAAAATAAAATAATCAGTGGTTAAAACGCAAAGTAACCAAAATATAGTTGCTTTTATATATATGCGCTCCTTCTATTATAACAATAGCACCTTTAATTTCTTCCTATTATAAAATTATAATTAGAAAATGTACTTGAAAAAACCATATTTCACAGTAGATTTTCAGATAAATGTCTTAATTAAAACAACAAAAACGGAACAATTTATACTTTGATAGATTTATTTCAAAATACAATGTTATATAAGAAAAAATAAATGAAAGTAGAATGGGTAATAGAAAACAATAATACATCATTGTAATAAACACACACAAAATAAATAAATAAATAAATAAATGTAAGTAGCTATTTTCTACATTGAGGTCTAAGACAAATAGCAAAAAGTAAACGGCATCAACCAATTTCATAACCAACATAGAGTAACGTTGTTTGTTTTTTGTCTGTAGATCTTCTTGACCTCTTCTGTTTGCGCCGCGCAGACAACATGCAGACATTATGCTATGCAAAATGTTTGTTTTTTTTAAGACTGCAGACCTAAAAAGGTTTGTGCGTCCTCTTCTTGGCGCAGATGTGGACGACAGTCTTCAAACATCTTCAGACTTCTTCTAGTTTAAAAAACACATATATCTTTGTTTTTTTTTAACTTAGATTTATTCCAACTTTATCTATGAAAACAATTTGAAAAAAAAAAAGTTACAATATTTAAAAAAAAAAAAAAAAAAAAAAAAAAGGTTCGACGACACAATCATGACCTTTGTGACAAATTTATAAATAAAGATTTAATTAAAATAATGGTCGTTGGAGCTGTTTATATCGATATAAAAAAATCATAATATTGTCTTATATTTTTTATGCAAAATTTCATATAACATTATTTAATGCAGTATCGTTCATTTCTTGGGAAAAATATTTATGGTCAGTTTTTAATTGATTTAATTGAAATCGTAAAACAAAAATTTTTAAAATTTTCATTTAAAATCAGTTTATCTTGATCCCATTTATGTGTTAAATTTTTTTATTCCTAATTACAATATTTAGATATAACTTCGCGACCAAAGTTTGTTAGGTTTTATCAAATATATACGTTAATTCTTACCATTTTATTTTCCTTTTTTTATACAATAATACATAAAAATTGATATACATTTGTTAATTATTTATAATAAAGTCAAAAAAAATTATTGAAAAACTCTGTTTTTTTTTTAAATCAGTTTAATTAGATTTTAATTATTCTAACAACCTGTAAATATTAAAAAACAAACAGTCTTCTTCTTTCATACTGCAGACGTTTGGTCCACCTCTTCTACTGCAGAGGTATGCAAATGTGATCCGCAAACTGCAAACATTTTACCTTAGAAAAAACAAATAACACCTAAATGTTTAAATCAGGAATCAATAGCAATGCACTACAATACAAAAAAAAAAAAAAAAAAAAATCAAGAAAAATCATATTACAACCTTCAAGAAAATCAAAATAAGACCAAACAAAATAGTTACTCTTACTTTAATCCCAACTAAATAATCTTTAAAACTAGCTATATTAGAAACAAATAACACAAAAAAATAAAATAGTTTCAATTTTCAATATACAACACACTGAGGGTATAAAATCCACCCCCGGGTAACCTAATGGCCAATATCACAAAATCGATGTATATAATCTACAAATTTAAATACTTCGAATCACACTTTAACAAATTTACTAGTTTTAATTGGTCAGAGTTGACTCCTCATTGACCTCATTTGACACATGAAGCATCACCATTGACTGGGTTTGACCAACATCATTCTCTCTTTGGCCCGTGGGCCCATCTTCATGGACCGTTGGTGGTGAAGGAACATATGATAAACCGTACTTTTGCTCATGAGTTAGCCCGGGACAAAGCCCCTGAAACATTTTTTTTTTTTTTTTTATATAAATGTTAATGCGTTTAAAATGAATGAATTAACAAAGTACTTTCACTTGTTTATCATAGCATTCTACTTTCATTTCTTTAAAGATAAAAATAGAAAATACTAACCTTGATAATTCCAGATATAGAAGTGGTTTTATAGAGACCATATTGAGTCACATAGCTTGGGGATCCAAGACTTCTTTGAAATCGACTATTATTAGTAGCTTGCATTTGCATGTCATCTTTCAAGATATAAGACCGAGGGTATTCTTGTCCAAAATTATTGGTTTGACAATATGCCCCAAGATATAAACATTGTTCATGGGCTAAAGAAATTCTTGGTGTCATAGGCAAGAGGTGACCTTCAGTGCTAAAAATATACCTGCAAATGGAATCAATGTAAGATGACAATTAAAAGGCTAAATGTAAGAAATAGTTTTTTTTTTTTTTTTTTTTAATTGAACATAAAAATTAAAACAGTGTGAAGCAATTCAAGAAACGCACTTGTAGGGCCCGTTTTCAACTAGGTTATCTGGGCCAGCAGCCAAATCAAAAAGAAGCCACAAATACTTGACCTACACAGCATCAAAAAATGTCAATATCCATCATGAGGAGGGCATTTATGTCTTTTTTGAATGGGACAAAAGAGTCCAGTTTTTATTATCCCATTGTCATTCATTAGTCTGAGTCCGGTGTATGCCAGACACAGTACAAGACAATGTAATTAATGTCATGTGAAAGTGAAACAAACAGCTAGCTAGGGGCAAAAAAGTAATTTCATCATATGTTTATGTTTGATACCGTTTCGGCTAAAAAGAAGCTCTCCATGTGATCTTCCTGCTTGTGAAACTCAACATCTGATATGTGACAATATCCACAAGTGCAGCGGGCCCCATACTGTAAGCTTGTAACAATATCTCTTCCTACATCAAGATACCTGCACAACAAGGGTTATTTTGAAGGGCATTATCGTCTTTTTAACTCACCCCGTATTCTTGGCTGAATCCAAGCAAAAAATAGCAACATACTTTCATTTTTTTTTCTTTTTTCTTTTTGTGTATTATAACACCACCATACTATTTCATACACAATAGATCTTACTTTCTAGGATATTTCGGATGACAAGGGCATTCACGTCTTTTTCAGAAAAATTACAAAAAATAAAATTATATATGAAACCTTGGATCCCTTGTAGCTTTGTATAGCCAATAAGTGCTCTCTATAAGTTCTGGACGCAGTGGGTAGCTCTTCTGACCATGCTGTAGATCAATTCAAATTTCAAAACACCAAAAGACGAAATTACCCTTTTCAGTTAAGTTATTATAATATTTACCTGAACAGAAAAGGATGCAAGATTGAAGCCTTCTGGAGTGAATCCATATCTTTTCCATACACTAAAAAAAGCAGTATGTGTTCGAATAGCAGGATCAATATCCCCAGCTAAAACCTTCCAATTTCAGTAGTCAGATTTACAAAACTACCCTTTGAGTGACTTATAATAATACTTTATAAAAAATAAAAAATACTGAATATTTATTTTACCTGAAGACCTGGCCAGAATGCCTGTAGACTATTGAATAATGGCCAAACAAGTGCAGCAGAATTCATGTTGACTTCTACATACCTACACATCTTTAAAAATTGTCATCATGTATGAATTTATATTTTATAAAAAAAAAAATAAATATAAAGAAAAAACTGAAAAATGTAATATTTTACCAAGGGTCATGAAAAAAGATAGTGCATAGCTGCTCCATAAGCTTCTTGGAAAATGTATAAATATTCTTCATCTCCAAATAGTAGATATGCCTGAAGGGATATTTATTTATTGAATATAAAAAATTTATGCTTTATGCTTTGTATGTATTATTTCTTATGAAATTTACCTTCAATAGATATTCATAGAAAGAGTCAATACTTGTCCCTATTCCAGCATCCTGAAAGAAATTTCATATGATTAAAAAAAAGGAGCAAATATACATGAATTTATGTTTTGATGAAAAAATAATCAAAGGTTAAATGCAAAAAATAGAAATGTGGTTTCATTGATTTTGTAATTTAATAATCCAAATACAAAGCTATAATAAGAAAACAATTGAATGTACAATGTAATAAGAAAAAGAAACAAGAGTAGAAAAATGTAATAAAAAGGTTGCTATTTCTTGAATTTAATTTTAACATTTCATAATAATAATAATAATAATAATAATAATAATAATAATAATTTATTTACCTTTTGTGTCCATTCTCCAGTGAAAACATCAATATGAGCACCAACTAAATTTATTCTTGAACGCCTTGCCCATATTCCTCTAACTGCATTCTTTGTAACTTCCTCAAAAACTAAAAATTAAAAAAAAAAAAAATTCACAATTTGTGCAACTTTGTAATCACAGCTATTTAAGGAAAAGGATGCAAGATCCATCTCATGTATTACTCCCATTGTAGGAATTTTCAATTATGTGGGCCCAAAGTTTGTTAGAAGTGTTTGATTAAATTTATAAAAATACAAGTTTGTGGACAAAAATTTACATTTTTAGATAATCAGAGTGGAATATAAAGAGGTTGCAATAAATACAAGACATCTTAAAAAGGAAATTGTTGCATTTTACAACATGAAGAGGTTATGTATATTAAACTATTGATTATGTTAAGAACTTGTAAAAAAAATATTTAGAGAAAATTTATTTTATTTTTGGAAATTGTGAAAAAGAAAGAAGTGGCTTACTTGGATCATTTGTTAATCGACTAAGCACACCAAATTCTAATGTCAGAGTGCCTCCACCAGCTGTTGATGTTATCTAAAAAAAAAAAAAAAAAAAAACTGTAATGTCATAATATTTTATAGAAATTTAAAAGATAAGGAAATTTGAAGAAAAACAAATCTATAAAGTTTTAAATTTAAACAAGAAATAGTTCTTTTTTAAAGTAATGTCTAGATTTCAAGAAAAAATAAACAAGGACAAATTTGTAAAAGGTTAGGACTTAATGATAAATATAAAAATCATTAATAGTTTCATAAAATAACAGGTTAATCTCAAAAAAGACCTTATATTTTCCAGATTAAACCTCAAATTTATTTTTTGCCTGAAAAAGACCTTGTATTTTTCATTTTTTCCAAAAAAATTGTAAAATGTGAGGGTTTTTTCGAGAAAAACTAAAAAAGTTGAGGGTTTATTTGGAAGCATTTACAAGGTTGAGGGTTTTTTTCGGAAAAAAAAATACAAAGTTGAGGGCTTTTTGGGAAAAATACAAGGTCTTTTTCAGGCAAAAAATAAATTTGAGGTTTAATCCAGAAAAAACGCAAAATGTAAGGTCTTTTTTGAGATTAACCCTAAAATAATTTGTTATATGTGATGATAAATATAAAAATCAATGTAGCAAGAGAAAAAAACAAATCCATACCTTACTTTCATTTTCATCAACTCCATGTAACAAATTAACAGATCCAAATGGAATTCCTGCAGTAGATAGCTTCAACAAGATCAGAAAAAAAAAAATATTCATTTTTTAAAAATGTCTATTTGTTTAGCAAAAACATGATATTAAATGCAAAGAAAAAAAAAACCTGTTGGAGTATCAAATGCAGGTAATAATCTACGAGCTAAATCTTCAGCAAGATGAAGGAGTTGATCATCATATGAAGGAATACGCATACCCTGCAATTGTTTTAAACTTTTAATTCAAAAGTACTTTTAAATTTAATAAGAAAAGACATGTTACAAAATTAAAATTTAAAAAGTAAGAATTAATACCGTTGCATAATCACTTGCAATGAGATGAGCAGAAAGCAAACCACCAACAATTCGGATAGTAGTTTCAAACAAGGATACTGTCTTGTTCTGAAAATTGTAAATAAATACAAAACATTTTTTTCATTATTTAATCAAATATACAAAAATAATACTAATTCCATGATACTCACAATATCAAATCTAATATTTTTACTAATCCATTCAACAGAAGAAGTGAATCGATCTTTATCACCAAGTAAAGCCAAAGTGTCTAAGGAGTCAATCTGCACTGGGGGAATTATAGTAAATTCATAAGTATATATTTTTTTAATAATAAAAAGGGGGAATGAAAATATTAAATATGTTAATAAGAATGTAGATGTTATCATGTTACTTACCAAAGTTAGAGCATATCCACCAAGTGTGTCTTCTCCTTCACATGATAGAGGTTTTAATTCATCACGTGGAAAAGCATGATCCATATATCCATCAAATGCATGATAAAACATTCCACTAACCTAATTCACAAAAGGGAATTGCTTGATACAAGTTTTATTATAAAACCATAAATTAAAGAGTAAAGAGTAAAGACCCCCTATTATATAATCAAATTTGTAAACTTTCGACACCCTTCTCAAAGAGTTTCTTATCATAAACCAGTTCATCAGAATATATTTCTGAAAGGGTTTCAATTTACCCAAACCCCAGCTAGACTTCATCTACTAAAAAGTAAAACCCTTCTGTTCATTATAAGGAATCTCATATTCTCATATGAATCAAACATGTTCTTAATCTTCATTAATTTCAGAACGTCCACAGAGGAGGGATATATAACGAATCAAAAGGCAATTAGGCGAAACGATAATTTCTTCCCGATTATCAAATCAAGAACATGGGATGTTCGAAAAAAATGTGAATTAGTCACCAATCACCAATCACCATCAATGTTTTCAGCTTTTAACATTAACAATATCAAATGGATGAACAATACACATGGGCAGATAAATGAATACGGAAAAAATCTTACCTCATCTCTCAGCTGTTTTGCTTCTTCAAAAGTCACACCTTCTGCTAAACCTCTAAAGATCAAACCATCGGAAATTATTACTACTATTGAGATTATGAGGAATGCAATCCGTGGTTTCGCGGGTTCCATGGATTTTATCCCTCACATTCAGAAAATATTTTAGCTGAATTGCTGATTAATAGGGTGCGGATCAAGCCGGACATTGTTTTGAGTAAATTACATAAATGGTCCCTCAACTGTTTACAAATATCCTTTTTAGTCGCTCAACTTTAAAATCATGTTCATTGCTCTTAATTTGAGTTTCTTTTTATAAATTTGTATGTATATTATGCCATTGTCAATATGTGTAAAAACTCATGATTTAGTGCATTATAGTTAAAGGTACAATGTGAAATAGAGAAACTTTTGAGATGGTTTTTAACACTTTAAAGAAAGAAAGAGGACAATGCATGAGAAAAGTAATAATATAAGGGTTGAAAACGTCATAAATGTATAAAAGTAACGATTAGAATTTGGGCCAAACATCAATGGTTTTAGGGAGGCAAAAATTTCCAATATTAGAGTTTTCTTAACTGTGATCCACCTATTATAAGGGATGTTATCCATCGAAAAAGTATGTGAAAGTTAGTGATGCATATTTTAGGTGTATATAACGAGAATGTGATAATAAATGATTTATAAACATTTGATAGGGTTTGTTTTCATCGCCTTGCTAACTTCTATTGAAGACGAATTTTGTACGTTGTGTAGAAATTGAAGTAGATAATTAAAATATTGATATGTTATTAAAAATAATTTATAAGCATATGGTTAGTAGACGATAGAAATTTGAATTTATTTCTGTAAATTGGTTGTAAATGGATTGAAATTAATTTCTATAAGTTGGTTGTAGCTTGTAAATAATAAGTTGGTTGTAACTTGTAAATGGGGATGGACCATAATTTTTTTTTTATTGGGGAGGGGAGAGATCAACTAATCATATCCTATACAACTAATAGGTAAAATAAATATCTACATATAATTTTGTCGATAATTACATTTTTTTTTTTGCTACTTGATTGCTTCAAATTGGTTATCTAATCACAAACATATCAATGCTCTTTACTTACAATCAAAATTGTAATTACATTTGTACATTTTTTTACAATATTGATAATCATGATTTAAAATTATATTTAAGTTTTTAATTTAACAAACAATCACTCTATCAAAATATTATTTACCATTATGCCATATTAATGTATTTGAAAAAATAAATATATTAGGAAAATATATATATATAATCTTCATTTTGGTCCACCAATCTACTAATTTTTATGATATTTCTACCACTATGACTCACAGCAATCCATATATGCTCATCCATAACACCCATGGTAACCGAATCACTCATATCATCCTACAAAACAAAACTACGAATCTTTTTGTAAGTTCAAGTATAATACAAAATTTAAAAAGAAAGTGACTGAAAAAAAATATAAAACATAAGCGAAGATATTATGAAGTTAGTAACCTTATTATTGTAAAACTGATTGTTGTATGATGCAAAAACTGTTCATTACGACATATGATTTGAGGAACAGTGACTTTGTTCCCATCATGCATTTTGGACATCACTTGTGCTTCAACTGATATTGGAATTTCAACTCAAAATGAAGGCTCTCCTTCCAAGATAAGTAAACTATAATCCTTTTAGTACTAATAACATTTTTCATTTATGTCACACTAATAAACCGGTTAATAATCATTTATTGAAAATTCTTTTGATATGTAGTAGTTAAAAGATAAGTTAAAGATGTGTGGATGTTTCAAATGAATAACGATTAAGGATAATGGTTTATATTATAATAGATATATAAACAATAGAATAGATATATTATATATTATTATTAAAGAGTTATAGGAAGAACAAAGAAAGTTTTAAAACTATTTAATGTATTCATGATAAAACCACTTACTATAATTAATTATTATTGTTAACTGATTTTTTACATCTTTTAATTTTATGTCTATGTAGATGTTTTTTTTTAATTATTTGCACTTATTTAAAATTAAATAACCAATTTATAATCGTTATTGCAAATTTTTTTTTGAAAAATCATAAGATTTTCAAATGTATGTGGTGAAAAGAAAAATATATCTTTTATACTATAGTATAGATTAAACGTAGTAAAACAAGATAAGAGTGGTTAACAAGAAAGGTCACAAAATCATCTATAGAACTATTATGTGATTTTAAAGAATTTAAATACGTTTCAAGGTACAAATTTTACTATTGTGGTAGAGGATTCAAGTCTTACGAAAAAAAAAATATTAGGTATGTTAAAAAATGTGTTCCTTTCCAATTGGTCGAGCAAAAAATGGCAAACTGTATCATATGAGCGGCTCACGTCAACCCACTCGAAGGCTTATATGAGAGGTCAATCGCAGAACACTAATAATATTTTGGGTGTACCAGGGTTTGAACTTTGGACAAAAGATTTAGAGTTAGAAGTATGATTAGATGAGTGTTTGAAATTGTCGTTTGAAAAAACATAAATATGGTATTTAGACAATCCATCCTGTTTTTTCATAGAAAAAAAAATATCGAGTCTCTTCTCCTATTAATGTCCAACTCACTTTTGTCTTTCCAAGTTATGAAAGAATTTATGCAACGAGCCAAAGCCAACGATAGACATACAAAGTGGAAAAATAACTTAATAGAAAAAGAATTTTGTTGATAATAAGACATTTGATAAAAAGCACATTTGATAATAAGATATGGAGAGGAAGTGACAAAGATGGTGAAAGGGATGGTCTTATTTCTTACTAGTGATTTGATTTGGACACATATGATAAAAGCAAATGAAATTTCTTTGCATCTTACTTTTCTGTTTTTAAGAAGAAAACAAAGATGACGTTTGAAATGTGAAAGATGGGGAAACATAACCTGAGGGGAAAAGTTTAGATACATGATCTTGGGGACGATATGGATGATCTTGGAAAGGCAGTTAAGTGGCCCACTTGTAACCATGTATTATAATTAAAATTCGATTGTATCGGTTTCATAATTCGTTTTTTTCAAAAATCAACACATTCCAAAAAAAATATTAACTTGAATGCTAACAGGCTTGAGTTGCTAAAGTATTAAAAAAAAAAAAACAACTATAGTGGCTATGTCTTCTAATTTCATTAAATAAAAAACTAACAAATTGGTAAATAATTAAATATATAAATTAAAAACAAATAAAACTAAACACAAACCTCGGACCTCAAAATTACATGTCAATATCAAGATTTTCAAATTCAGATAAATTAACATGAAAAATCCAAGAACAATTTCGTACAACCGCGATTAAACAATATATGACCAAAAAGGTCCCCGCATATGATTCGTTGACACTATAAAGAAATTAACTTTCACAAAATCTTCATTTCGACTTACAAATCTTTTATAAATAATAGAAACAAAACAACATTTTTTTTTGAAATTAGACACCATAATAATTCATAAGTAGCATCAATCAAACCTATTGCTTCTTCTTCTTGGGTCGCCTCTTTCTTTTGGGTTTCCGGGCATCCGAATTGGAGCTCAAATTACTCCCGCTATTACCCGTGCCCGACTCCACGGGTCGCCGGTTATTAAAAAACGGGCGTTCGACACTTGTCGACGTATTACTGGACGATGACATGTCAACTCTACGAGAGGATGATGACATGTCAACCCTATGAGAGGAGTATGATGTGTTCTTGTTGAACGGTTTAGTGTATCTTGATTTCATGTGATTTGGATTTGGATTATTTGATGCCCGAGGAGGTGGCATAAGTGCACGAGCCGAAACGTGTCTCTATTTAAATTTAATAAGCAAATTAATAAATTAATAAAAATAAATATATTTACACGTCTTTTAATACAGGACAGGACAGGACAGGACAGGACAAGACATAACAGATCAGGCTAACCTGATTTCTTTCATCGCTGGACATACCGGAAGCTGCTTTTCCAGAAGCACTAGATGCTTGTTCCCTGTTACAAAGTTTTTATTTTTATATATAAAAATTTAAAAAAAGTTTGGTGTATGAATTGAGAAAAGACGATTCTAACCTTGCACTTTTATCAGTCCACTCATCATCTGCATCAGCTTCATCACTTGAGCTTCCACTTTGAAAGAAATCATCTTCACTTAAATCCAACCCATCGTCTTCACTTCCAGTTTCTGAAACAGTTTATTGTAAGAAATAGCAATTAATTTGTTTATTATAACTTATAGCATCCTACTTTCATTTTTTATTTTGACAATTCTACCCAATTTTATAGCAAATTTTACTTCTACAATTAAGTAGATTTTTCAAAGTATTAAGGAAAATATTGAAAGAACAATCAGTATGTTTCTTACTAAAGCATTGCTATTTAGTTTAAAACATTGTACTTTAATTTTATTTTGACAAAATTGCAAATATGGTCCCTATGGTTTGTCAAAAATTGTCATTTTGGTCCAAAAAGTTTTTGACGAGCACCACCTGTCCAAAACTTTGATTTTGTTGCAAGTTTGGTCCATAAATTTTTTAAACTCTTTATAATAATGGATTTACCCTTGCAAGGGCAAATCTGTCATCTTAAATATTTAAAAAAAAAAATTAGACCAAACTCGCAACAAAATCGAAGTTTTGGACTGGTGGTGCTAGTCCAAAACTTTTTGGACCAAACTGGCAATTTTCGACAAACCACAGGGACCATATTTGCAAATTTGTCTTTTATTTTTCTTATCAAGACATTGTGCTTTAAAAAACTACCCAAAATTGCTTTGTATTTGGATGATATTGCTATGATTGGGTAGATTTTTCAAAGCACAATGTTATAATAGGAAGAAATGAAAGTATGAAGCTACAAAAAACAAATAAATGAAAATATATATTTTTTAGAACAAAAAATGAAAAATAGAAATTAATTACCTTCCAAATCTTTCCCACTAGCTATAGCAGCAGCTATATTTGCCTTGATTTGTGTGCGTAAGGCGTTTCTCTTATTAACAGTCTCTGTATTATCACCTTTTTTAAATAATGATACGTATTTTTCTGCCTTTGGAAAAAACTGCAGTTTCAAAATCATAATATTATTATTATAATTATAATAAACAAATGAATGAAAGTAGGTTGCTATT